GCTAGTTCAAGCAATATCGTCGACGGCGTCTACAGCAGATGATGCTTGAAGTGGAAGTGGCGGTTTCACGACAGCATTACACGATTTCTTTCGAAATATTGCACTGAACAGCGACATAAATAAGCAACTAAGTGGATATTTAATTCAGACGAAAACGTTTCCGATACAAGGGCAAAAGGCAGATTTGTTCTGCCGGACAGAATCCTAGCAGCCTAATGCACGCTTAGAACATGTGCGAACATAAATGACATCATACGCTATTATTACATGTAAATGCAGTTTATTACAGGTGAATGAACAGTAAAGTTTAATTTTAATAAAGATATGTCAAAAACAACTAAGAATGAAACCTAAAGAAAATATAACTATTGTGTGCATAACTTATTAATCTTGAGGACAAGAAAGCGGGTAAGTTCTAGCATTTTCACATACAGTACATATAGTACCGGGATACTGGCAATGTTCCACAACATCATTACTATTGTGGCTTTTCCAGGCTCGCACGTACACTAGTGGCGACACGGTGCGGGATGATCTGTCGTCTCTATGATCTCATAAATCTAGAATTCAATATTCTATGAACTGCTCATAAGCATGTTTCAAGCTACTAATGAATTTCCTTCTTCTCTTCCTATTCCTGACATTGTTGTGTTAATACTGTTTCTATAGACCTTTCCACTGTTTACAAACAGATGCCCTTGATTACGTCCACTTACGTCCACCGATGTGCCTTAATAGCATCGGTGGGCAAGAAGAGGTTAAGAAAATAGCCCGCTCATTTTCTACACTTTCTTTCCTTATTTGGCAAAATATATTCAAATAGATGGCCTTTTGAGATACATAAAATTATAAGAGATTCATCTAAACTTAATATGAGTTGCTTTATGTGAAAAACTAATGAGATGTTCCTTTCAATTGAAAAAAAAGAACTTGAAAACATGCTTTCGGTTTCGACGTTAGGAGCTGGTAAATGAAATGACCGGAAGTATTTTTCGGCGTAACATTTGTGACCTTGAAACAATCTATAGACGAGTGAGCAAACAGTAAGATTAATCGATTGGTAGGTAGGGCTTAACGTCTCAAAACCACCATATAATTATGAGAGACGCCGTAGTGGAGGGCTCCGAAAATTTCGACCACCTGGGGTTCTTTAACGTGCACCCCAATCTGAGCACACGGGCCTACAGCATTCCCACCTCCATCGGAAATGCAGCCACCGCAGCCGGAATTCGATCCTCAGCAGCCGAGTACCTTGACCACTAGACCACCACGGTGGGGCGAGCACACAGTAAGGTAGCTGCAAGTCTTGAAACTTACAAGACCGGTAAAGTGCACCCGCCTGCGTGCAGTGTGTGTGTGTGTGTGTGTGTGTGTGTGTGTGTGTGTGTGGTGTGTGTGTGTGTGTGTGTGTGTGTGTGTGTGTGTGTGTGTGTGTGTGTGTGTGTGTGCGTGCGTGCGCGCGTAGTTGTGTGTGTGTGTGTGCGCGTAGTTGTGTGTGTGTGTGCGTGTGTTTGCGTGTGTTTTTATGTATGTTCATGTGTGTGTGATTGTGTGTGTGTTTGTGTTTTTGTGTGCTTGTGTGTTTTTGTGTGTGCGCTTGTGTGTGCAGGCGTTTGTGTGTATTTGCATATGTATGTGTGTGTGTTTGTACGTGTTTGTACGTGTCTGTGTTACTTTCTTTCATTATTACTGCACGTTCATCTTCTGTTAAAACATCGGGACGATGCCTTTTTTCAAAAGGAAGGCAATCCCACGTTCCTTCCTCAAGTTTTCTTATCACCCCGTTACGCTGTACGCGATTCTCAGCGCAAACCAGAGACAGTCACTGTCATCCGTTTTTGCGCGCATCGACAACAGCCAAATGGTTGTGGACACTATTCTGTCAAGTGCCCGAGAGAAGACATTGCAACAGAAAGCGACAAAAGCTCTGTAGAAATTCCTACGCGACACGGACTTGAACAAGTGGCTGGGACTGCAATGTCACACACCGCGAAAGACAAGACTGGACTATGACTGAGTGTGCGCGTGTGTGCTGCCGAATGTGCTGTGTTTATCTCTCTTCCCTCTCTGCTCTCTATCTTTCATCTCCCCCAACCCCCCCCCCCCCCCATGCGCAGAGTTGCAAACCGGCTGCCTATAGGCTGGTTAACCTCCCTGCCGTTCTTTCTCTTCTATTTTCCTTCAGCGCAAACCGCGTCGACAGTGTTCAACAAGCTTCAGGACTACAGTAGATCATTTTGTTGAGATTACGCCCACTTCGTGAGCATTTCAGATTATTCTGAAATTTACGTCACCGCTAGCGATAACGCTAGAATGTTCGGTGGCGAGTTTATAAATACCGACGCGTTTGCGGCTTGTCAGTTGATCGACGGCCGACACTGCATTCGCCGCTATCAGTGGAAATGTGCTACTATAACGGGATTTTCCGTTTACCGGGCACATGTTTGCCCAAATAAACTGTTTGATCTGACCATCCAGTCTCCTGCCTTCAGCCACATCACAACCCCGGGACAATATTATCTTTACTGCGGAGGTGCATTCTCTGCAGGCACTGCACATATGAAATTCGCGCATTACTTCAAGCAACAAATTGATAAGTGACCATTGAATACCAATTAGCCCGGTCACACACCTTGCTGCAGTGTCTTTAGAGTTGTTGTCACCTTACTATTACCTTTACTGCGGAGGTGCATCCTCTGCAGGCATTTCACATATGAAGTTCGCGCATTAGTACAAAAGCGACAGATTGATAAGTCACCATGGAATACCAATTAGCCCCGGTCAACCACCTTACTGCAGTGCCTTTAGGGTTGTTTTCCCCTGAATGTTACCTTTACTGCGAAAGTGCATCCTCTACAGGCACATCACAGTTGAAATTCGCGCATTAGTTCAACAAGCGACAGATTGATAAGTCGCCATGTAATACCAATTAGTCTGGTCACACACTTTGCTACAGGGCCTTTAAAAATGTTTACCTCAATATTACCTTTACTGCGGAGATATATCCTCTACAGGCAACGCACTGTTGAAATGCGCGCACTAGTACAACAAGCGACAGATTGATATTTCGCCATGGAATACCGATTAGTCTGGTCACACACTTTGCTACAGGGCCTTTAAACATGTTTTTACCTCAATATTACCTTTACTGTGGAGATACATCCTTTGCAGGCAACACACTGTTGAAATGCGTGCATTAGTACCCCAAGCGACAGATTGATAAGTCGCCACGGAAAACCAACTAGCCTTGTTACACACATTGCTACAAGGCCTTTAAATTGTTTTTACTTCAATATTACCTTTACTGCGGAGATACATTCTCTACAGCCACATCACAGTCGAAATTTGCGGATTAGTACAACAAGCGACAGATTGATAAGTCGCCATGGAATACCAATTAGCCTGGTCACACACTTTGCTGTAGGGCCTGTAAAATGTTTTTACCTCAATTTTACTTTTACTGCGGAGATACATCCTCTGCAGACAACGCACTGTTGAAATGCACGCATTAGTACAAGCGACATATTGATAAGTCACCATGGAATATCAACTAGCCCCGATCACACACCTTACTGCAGTTTTTTAAAGTTATTTTCACATCAATGTTACCTACAGTGCGGAGGTGCATCCTCTGCGGGCACAGCACAATTGCAATGCGCGCATTAGTACAACAAGCGACAGATTGATAAGTCGCCATGGAATACCAATTAGCCCCGGTAACACACCTTACTGCAGTGCCTTTAGGGTTGTTTTCCCCTGAATGTTACCTTTACTGCGGAAGTGCATCCTCTACAGGCACATGACAGTTGAAATTCGCGCATTAGTACAACAAGTGACAGAACGATAAGTCGCCATGGAATACCAATTAGCCCGGTAACACACCTTGCTACAGTGCCTTCAGGGTTGTTTTCTACTCAATTTTACCTTTACTGTGGAGGTGCACCTTCTGCAAGCACAGAACAGTTGAAATGCGTGCATTAGCACAACATGCGACAGATTGATAAGTCGCCATGGAATACCAATTAGCCCGGTCACACAACTTGCTGCAGCGCCTTTAGAGTTGTCACCTCAGTATTACCTTTACTGCGGAAGTGCCCCCTCGGCAGGCACAGCACAGTTAAAATGCGCGCATTAGTACAACGAGCTATAGATAGATAAGTCGCCATGGAATACCAATTGATGCTGCTTTATAGTTGCCCCGGTCACACACCTTGCTGCAGTGGCTTTAGAGTTGCTTTCACCTCAATGTTACCTTTACTGCGGAGATGCATCCTCAGCAAGCACAGCACAGTTGAAATGCACGCATTAGTACAGCAAGCGACAGTTTGGTAAGTCGCCATGGAATACCAATAAGCCCAGTCACACACCTTGCTTCAATGCTTTTAGAGTTGTTTCCTGTCAATATTACATTTACTGCGATGGTGTATTCTCTGCAGGTGCAGCACAGTTGAAATGCGCGCATTAGTACAACGAGCGGCAGATTGGTTTAGGGGTTAGTTGCTCGTTTTCGGGTTACATTCTGTGTAACCATGCTCTGAAACGCTTACTATAATACATGTTAACTGTGAAGGTTGAAGCGTTGAGGCATGAAGCAAGGACATGATAAGTTGGGCCAGGGGGTCGATTGGGGGATGCGAAAAAAGCATATGTCTCCTCATCAAACTCCACCCTCCAACTTCAAGCCATATAAGTTCTCACGCTCCCCCTATACAGTGCAACACGGGTTTGCACCCCAGAAGACAAAAACCTGCATGCTTCATTGAGTTGGGCAGTTACAGGCGCAAATCCAAACACTCATCCACAGCATGCCTAAGCTTATTGCACGGTCGCTCGCAGCCGTGGAAGGTGGTAGCACGTGCCGTGGATGCAGAGCACGTGGCCCGCGCGTCCCGCCAGGGTGCGCCAGCGCGAGAGGGCGGCGCTGCGGGATCACGTGGTGCGACCACGGACGAGCCGGAGAGGAGGGGTCTGGTGGACCGCGTTGTGGGCACACGCGTTCCGGCCGGCCTGCCATGAGGGCCTCCGCCGATGGAGCCGACGACCACCGAGCTGCTGATGCTGCTGCTCATCGGATGCCTCTCTTCGCTGCTGCCCGGTGAGCGGCGCCTCGTTTACACCTCTCACTGTGGGATTTTATATTAATTATGGATGCTGCCGCGCACGTAACTGCCATGCACGTACTGAAAAATTCGTTGATAATTTTGCCGTTGGACCGAGACTGAGTGAAAACCATTTAATGTCATAACAGTAGAGAGCGATGACTAGGTGTTATAACTATGACTTAGAACATGCAGGAGACTACAATATAAATGGTAGGTTGTTGCACGACCGGCACTTATACACCGTGTAAGACAAATATTACTACCCTGTATAGTTTTTGACAAATGTTATTAACTTTCGTAAACTTAAGAACCTGGCTAATCAACTTCACTTACGAAAGAAAACAGTAGAGGAACAAACATATGTGTGTTAACTTAAACAATAAGCTATCCTGCACTGGCGAAAGGAATGGGGGAGCTTGAAAGAAGAATACGGAAAGAAAAAATTAGTTAATATGACGAGGGCTCAAAAGAAACTTGTGAGCGTTTGTGTGATCGTGATGCATAAAGTCACTAAGTTCAAAGCTCGCTATAAGAACAATTGTTAGCCAAGATCGGCTGGCGTTCACCGTAATTAAGCCAACAACAGCCACAGAGGTGTAGATGAAGTAACGTCACAGTAAGACACTAATCTGCGGGAGCTGTGTTTAGTGTTAACCTCTATTTTGCGTGTTATATCGAGCACCGTAGCTTGTTTAAAAGTGCGACTGCATGAGGACATGGAATGCATTGCCTTTATTGATAGGTGAATGAATTTGAAACTTTACTGTTTATCCTGCGGTGCACAATTCAACGCGCGGTGAGCCACTCCCCCATTGGGACTTTATAATAATTTTAAACTGGACAGCACGAATTTGGCTGTGATAAATAGGTAATAATGGCAGTATTCTCTACGGAGTTGTATCCATGGAAGAAAAAAAAATCGTTTATCTAAGCACATGAGAGAAAACTTGGGCGCTGTTTATTGCGTCGTTCACACTATAACCTAAATTTACTTTTATTTACTTTCATTTTATTGCATTGAAAACATCCCAATAAAATAGTAAAACTAGGGAGTAGGTACAGCTTTGTTTTACGTATACGATGCATCTTTACTGAAATCGTATTGTGAACATAAGTAATTAACAGTTTATACGAGTATAGTTGAGATGTACGTAACTAGGTGATCATGTCATTACTTAGCGCTTTGAAAAAGTGGTCTTTTGTAGCTGATATATTAGGAATGTTGTCGCAATTAGATGGAAGTTCTAAATAAAAATGACGAAAAAAAGTGGACTAGCAATTGGAGGAGAAGACCAATCCGATTAAATGAGCGTGACAGGGCAGATATTTAAGGAGCACAGTTAGCTTATGAATGGTTCAATCTGTGGTGCAGTGGGAGACTAGTAATGTGACGGCAATGGTAAAGAAGTGAGAGGTCAGGTCGAGATTTTAGTGGCGTGACAATTATGTTATATGAATAGTGCGACTTATTTGATGATTTTGATTAGACTCAGGGACTATTATTAAGCAGGGTTGATGTGAACACCGACATTTATAGTGTTGCTTTTGAAAGTGATGCACGTGCGATCAGTTCTATGAATGGTCGTGTACGACGTAAATGTTCTAGAAACCCAAGCATTTTGTAAGCTGATTAAATGACGCTATTAAAACGCGTACACCAACACAAGCTGAAGACCCATCAAAGTAGCTCAACAGTAAAATAGAGGAACTGAACGATCCCATGAAAGAAGTGAGACACATCCTTGGGAAGTGAAGCTTTAGATGAAGCGAGCAGATAAACTGGAAATAGAAAACGAAGGCTTAGTAGTCATTTAAAGGAGAATTACACCTGCCTCGGTGATTAAACATGAGATAGGATTGTACTGCAGCCTCCCAACAATTTCCTAAAACTTCACGTCTTTCTGGGAAAAATTCAGTCTCGGGAGAAAACCTTTGTTTCGTATGACACCTTCAGCACTTTGCGGATTTCGGTGGAATTACCTATACTTTTCTTATCTTACACATTTATTTCTTGTGATTCAACTTAGTGGAAGCACTTGTTCAACGTCACCATTCGATAAGCCCCCTTTTCAGATTTCAAGTTTGTGGCATGATCTCCAATACATTCAATACAGATCAACTAGCTGTGATACTGAAAACTTTTCATTATTCTTACGGGAAAAAACTTTAAATTTTGATTCGCATGTTCTTTCAGAATAATATTACCTTGTCGTTATGCACAGTGATTTGGAGGCTCACTATACGCTTTCTCGTGATCATTTAAAATAGAGCATACTTCGAAGATTCACTGAAAATATGTATATTGAATATTTTGGAGGCTAATTTTCTACCGAAGACGGTGCTATTGATTTAAACTGCAACAATGTTACTTGCTTTCTTCACGTGATCGTAGAACATACGCATTGACATAAAACCTGTCACATGCTCCTTAACAAACAGTTAATCCTCATAGCTACTGTAACTTACCTTCAATGACAGATTAAGAGCTTCTTAGTGCTTTTCAGCAATACGTGTCAATTAGCTTAACTAACACAACTTACACCTGAAAATATTCTCAATGTTTATCACCCCGCTTCATTTCCTCTCCCGTTCAAACGCATCTACCTCACCTTGATATTCATTCTCAAACTCTCTACTCTCGTTATATTCTATTATAAACTACTCGTTAGGTTTTAATTGCACTGCAAGACCTTCCCGGCTCTACTTCTTTCCCTAACGTTCCATCGCCGGCGTGGCTTAGCGGCTGTCACCTCGTTTTGCAAATCACGAAGACTGCGCTTCAATTCCTGGACACAGCATTCGCATTTCGATGGGGCACAAGGCAAAAATGCCCTTGCTGTAAAATTTATTGAGGTGCCTCGAGAAAACCTTAATCAAAATGTAACGGGCAATACTCCATTAAGGTACTGACGAGAATACCGGCTAGGAGCCCCGCCGCGGTGGTCTAGTCACTAAGGTACTCAGCTGCTGACCCGCAGGTCACGGGATCGAGTCCCGGCTGCGGCGGCTGCATTTTCGATGTATGCAAAAATGCTGTAAACGCATGTGCTCCGATTTGGGTTCGAGTTACAGAACCCTAAGTGGTCTAAATATCTGTAGCCTACGGTGTCTTTCATAATGATATGGTGGTTTTTGGGACGTTAAACCTCACACATCAATCAATACCGGCTAGGAGAGTTGGCTTTCTAATTTACTCACCTATAATTTGGTACTTGACGTCGCATTGATGGCCTCTCGTTCTACAACTGACTGCTGTTCAACTTACGTCATCAACGGGATACAGTTTTCTCAAGTTTAAAAAGCAGAAATATTTCAAGTGACGAATGTAGGAATTCGAGACAATCGTTGTTCGCCTTCTTGTACAATGTAAGGGTCGCGTTGTTTTTTCGTTTTTTAATAACTAATCAGATTACGACAATACTTTGTATTGAACACGCACCCAATATCCCAAAAGCAAGTATACTAACAGATGGTAGCGATCTGGTGTTTTCATTTCAAATTTTCATTTGTGGTGTTTTCTAACGTGCACTCGCATCGCGCAGTACAGGGACCTCCAGCATTTTGCCTCGATCTAAATGAAACCACCACGGCTCGGATTCGATTCCGCGACCTTCGATTCAACAGTTGAACGTCCTGATCCCCTAGACCTACTATACCCAGAAACACTACCTTCTCTTTGCGACTTTTTCTTTTTTTTATGAAACACGTGGCCAGTGTCAGCTCTAAGCGATGAGCCCAGCATGGTTTCACACTTTTCGGGTCACCCACTATCTTCGCTTGTGCAGTCTAAAAAGCACAAAACCAAGTGAAACCAGTCGATCGCGCGCAGTAGCCATGCTAAACAATGAAGAACAGGCTCCGTAACTGCATTGACAATTTAAGCAGGGTAGGGCACAGTTCACGACTGATATCCCTCGTACATGGACCAATGCAGAGCTTATTTCCTGATGACGAAACGTGAACCGAGTGCTGGCGTGCCGAATGGCGCCGTAGCGACGGCGAATACAGGAGAGATTAACCCTCGCGTTCTCTGTACTTTTCCAAGTTGTTTAGGAGCCCTTTAAGGGGAACAGTTTGTATGCCCTAAGTACACGCCCATTCTGCGCAGATTGAAGCAAACGAGCGAGTGGACGATTCGTCGAGACGACAGAGAGAGAAAAGCACTCGCTTATACTTCATCGCCCCCCCCCCCCCTTTCTTTTTCACCTGTACGTGTGAGGCTGCGGCAGAGCGGGAGTGACCGACTGTGGCACGCGAAGCGCAACAGATTGCCTCCGAGAAGGATGGATGAGCGCTCTGTCGAGCGAACGGGGACATCGTGCGGCGACTTGCCGGCGTGCGCGACAGGTTGACAAGCGCTGAACTCGCCGGAAGCGCCGACGCGTGTGCCGGAAGCCACGCTGTAGCGAGGGCTCTTGCGCAACGATGACCACGTTCTCCAGTCCGCTGCGAGGCTTCGCTTTCGGTCTCGTCCGGCCGTCCCGCGTTGTTTCTGCACCCGTGGCACAAATCGAGGAAGTGCTCTTGGTTGGTCAGCTCTAAAATGAAGTTGCCTCATCGCATAAACACAGCAAGCCATGTCAAAAGCGGTCGAGTCTTACTATGAGAGTCTGTGCGCTGTTACAAGTCAGCACTTCAAAAGTGCGTTTGAAACAAGAAGTCTTAAAAGAGAGATATATAGATATGAAAATGGAGAAATAAAATCCGATGAGGTAAGCTGTGCTGAATCTTGTTTGTTACTTGTTTGTTACTGTTACTGAATCTTGTTTGTTACTTAAAAAAGGAGGAGGACAGGAAGGAAAAACAGAAAGAAAAAATGAAAAGGAATGTTGTCCAGAGAGGTCATCGCGAGTGAAGGTGACGAAATAAGTCCTCAGCTTGTTGAGGGCAACTGACTTGCACCGGCGGTTATAGGATAAAAGTTTCAGGGTTACTGTGACGTGTGACTTTGAGTGCACATCCTCTCCTCTCTCCCTCTCTCCGTCTTTCAAAT